AGAGAGAGAGAGAGAGACCTAAGGGACACCCGCCTCCATCCCGCGTGCATCGCTCAAATACGCCACGTTACATTTTTCACCGTTCAGGTAGAAATCGACGAAATGGCAGCGAACGGATAAATGGCTCTGTGGAAACCTCCGAATCCCCATACGTAAAATTTTTATAAATTCCTCGTCGACGAAAACTATATCGTCTTCTCGCGAGGCGAGATTAAATCGTTAGAACGAACGAGCGAGGAGATTTCACAGGGAAAATGTAGCGGCGTTCGTTTAAGTAAAAGTGAAAACAAGCATTCGTTTCACGCTTACGTCATCGCGATTGTATTTCAGACAGCTGGACTCTGTCACGATGTTCATAGTTCGATTACGCAAATTATAGCGACGAGACTTGATACTTTTTGTTCGCGGTTAGAAGTGCAAGTATGTCTATTTACGTTCATAATGCGTATATGAATTAGATATTTGGGCACGCCAAGCAGTAATATTACAAAATCATATATAATCAAATTGTTTCTAACAATATTATATATTGTAATATTAAAAATACTCCTGATATCCATCTCACAATCAACGTGGATTAATTTTCAAAAATCTCGATTTATCATTTTCATCTTTTCCTAGAATCAAAAAAAAAAGACAAAAAGTAAATGAGAGAAGAGAGTAAGTCTAATAAGCGATCATTAATAGAAATTTAAATTCGGCATGTAACTTTTTAAATAAATAATTTTAAATAATTTAAATTTTAATAAAAATAATTAATATCTAGAAAGACAGATCTCTCTTTCTCTCCTTTTCTCAGTATTTTATAATGTCAAAATGTGTGAAACTTCACTTTTATTTAATCGTGGGTCTCTTGGGTCAGAATGATTGACTTCTTGAAGAATCGACGCTTTCTAGAAAGGTTTACACGACGGCTAGACGTCGAGGCACCGTGGCGAGATAGATAGATTTGATTAAACGCGAGCGAGAGCGTGGGAGCATCCTCTGGTCCGGATGCTCGTGAAATTCTACCGTCTGCACGACCGGTTCCATTAGTGAGAATCAAAGTTTAAGGTCCCGCAGACTCGAGGCCAAGCTGACCGTTAGCACAGCGAGTGTCGAAAGTTTCTTTATCTTCCTTGCATTTGTCTTCGTTGAACGATCGTGACAAGGCGCATTGTCTTTCATTTCGAAAACGGATCGCTTTGTAAAATATTAAGTACGGAGTACGTTTTGTACCGTATGCAGCGACTATTTACGTAAAACGGAATCTCTCTCTAGAATCTTACATATTCTAGACATTTTTCATTATAGACGAGCTCTAGAAGTTCTATATTTACAATTCTATGTCCCTAACTGGGATATGCTATTCACACCCCGACTGGAAATCTTTCTTTTCCGATTTTAAATTTATTCTGGAGTCTAAGTTCTAAAAGTTTTTTTTTCTTCGGAATCCTACAATCTTACCTGTTTCTTTATGTTGTGTTAAAAAAAAAAAAAAAAAAAAATTCTTATTTTCCATTATAAACTCCTTGATTAGAAATTTTCGGATGTGGCTTGATTAATTTTCAACAGATTTCTCCCAGATTTCTATCGCGATGATAATAAGATTATCAAAGATGATAAAATATCGATAATGATAGAGCGAGTTTTTTAATCAAGGTTAAAACGCAATTTTGTCGATCACTGGGATCTTTTAGCAAATACTAGACAATTAATTTGGCACTGAACTTGAAACTATTTTGGCCCGTTGATCGCGATATCGCGATAGCTCGCAGACGGGGGCATGGAGCGAAGGTATCCCGACGACAGAATGAAAGCACCTTCACCAAGATAATCGACGGACCCGACGATGCTGAAATAGATTCGGTCATCGCGCCAATGACACGGGCATAAAGACGCGTGCTAAATGGAACAAGTCTCGGCGGACGTTCGATGAATTCTTGGTAGACCGGGTAGAACGGTCTGGGAGAAAATCCCAAACTCTCACCGAGCACAGCGGTTGCCAAGGGGGCTGCCTTCTACATAAACCCCCTACCTCTCTCGCTTCGTCTGTGCCTTTCGTCAAGCCGCTCTTTCACAGCAGTTGTCCCCTTTCCCTCCTCTCTCTCTCTCTCTCTCTCTCTCTCTCTCTCTCGCTCGATACCACCCCTGTCTCCGTTTGCCTCTCGCTCACATCCTGCTTGTGGAGTCGTACTGGAAAGGTCTGCGTCGGCGCCGAGCGACTGGGGAGTCGGCGGTGTTGCCGGCTCGCTCGAACCGGTGCTCGCCACGAGGAGAGAACCCCGCTTCGGTAGAGCCGTGGCCGGAGCTCCGCTCCATAGTCGGTTTTTGCATCTGACGCGCGGCGGGCGGACGCGGCCGGCCGCTGGGAGCGCGATATGCACGAGCGTGTCATGTGACACGCGTGACAAGTGGTGCGCGGCCGCGGCGTTGCTGCACACGACGCCGGTGACACCGACGGAGACGGTTATCGCGCGCGGTGGAAGGATAAAGGAGGCGAGGGAAGACAGGAGGAGATATATAGGGAAAGAGAGGGAAAGAGAGAAAGGGAGAAATAGAGGAGGGATAGAG